GGGGGGTGTGTGTGTGTGGGGGGGGTGTGTGTGTGTGTGGCCTAGCATTACTATACTTGTGGGGACCTAAATCTTTTTACACAGTCACGTGTGGGGACTCACCTCCCTTATGGGGACAAAATGGAGGTCCGGAATCCTTCCTTTTAGGGCGAAGACTTGGTTAGGGTTAGGGTAAGGGTTAGGCATGTGTTGGTTATGGTTAAGGTTAGGACAAGTCTCCAGGAAATGCATGTAAGTCAATGTAATGTCCCCTGAAGTGTTATATCTGTCCCAACCCAGAGATATGTATTATGCATTTGTGTGTGTGTGTGTGTGTGTGTGTGTGTGTGTGTGTGTGTGGGTGTGGGTGTGTGGGTGTGGGTGTGTGGCAGTGACATGCTGGAGGAAGAGGAAGATGATACAATCCACATGGGGAATGCCATCATGACCTTCTATGCTGCTCTCATTGACCTGCTGGGCCGCTGTGCTCCAGAGATGCATGTGAGTGACAATAAACACACACACAAACTCACACACACAGACTCATACAGTAGATGCTCACACACATTTTCCCATTTTGTATCAGTTAATCCATGCTGGTAAAGGTGAAGCAATCCGTATCAGAGCCATCCTGAGGTCTTTGATTCCCATCGAGGACCTGGTGGGGGTCATCAGTATTCCATTTTCAATGCCCAACCTGGCTAAAGGTAAGCAAACCAAACCCAGCTTGACTGTATCTGACATGCCCAACATCCTGATTTAAAATATTTTCTAGGATAAAAATATGCAATCACAAATAAAAAAGAGTGATTAAGTTGATCTTAAATCTTGACTTCAGTCTTGTTTGTGTATGTGATTGTGTGTTTGTTTGTGTGTGTGCCTCTGCCGGAACAGATGGGCATGTGGTGGAGCCAGACATGTCGGCTGGTTTCTGTCCAGACCATAAAGCAGCCATGGTCCTGTTCCTGGACCGAGTTTATGGTATAGAGGATCAAAACTTCCTGCTGCACCTGCTGGAGGTCTGCTTCTTACCAGACCTGAGAGCTGCTGCCTCTCTGGACACTGTGAGTGTGGAGTGTTGTGTTTAACACCTAAGTGTAGGGTGGCATTCAATTAGTAACACATCGCTCCTCTTTTATCCCACTGTCATTAGAACTGGGCTTCAGACTGGCTCTTGAAAAATAGGACATTTCCTGGTGGTCTGATGGCTGGACTGACCTGACCTTTTTTTTGTGGCCTGCTTTCAACTTAACCAATGGCAAGAGATGGCAATAGAGAACATAAATGAGTTGGAGGGCCACTCAGAATACATTCAACAGGCCTTCAAAATATTTACACCTACACCAATGAATAATCAGGATCTATTATCATGATATACATTTTAATCAAAAATAATCGTGACTATCAATCTGTCCATAAACGTGCCAGATAATGTATCCAGTGAGTACACATTAGTTGCTTTTCATGTTTCTTTAGCCTGAGTGCAAGGAAATGGTGATAAAAATGTAAAAAGTCATGGAAACGGTTGGTTTGGATATCTTAACTGTTGTTTTGATAAGCTGAATGTTTTGATAAGCTGAATGCTCGAAGAGAAGATTATCCTCACACAGGGGACGGAAAGAGCAGGGTTTGGGTTGAACACAGGCGTTTATTAGCACCGAAACCAAGTACACAACACAGGTTGCAAAACGTTGCCCGTGTGGGAACCTTCACAGGTCCTACTGCAAGACTGACCAGAACCAGGTTACCACATGCTTTTATTCAGTGACTGATTACCTGATTCCGATCAGCTGTCTGGCCTCCGGCCGAGCCACTCCCTTCACTCCAGCAGCCAGCGCCCTAACCACACCCCGCTGCCACACACATACTTTGAAAACTCAGTATTCAGATTGACCTGGATGTCAAACTCCAGGCATAAATTATTGTCTCAGTCCACCACTGCTTATAATGCATATTTTTTACACAGTACTTGATCACACACTAATATATTATTTTCTCCATCTTTCCCCTCTTCTCCTGTCTCTGTTTTTGTGCCAGGTTGCTCTCAGTGCCACAGACATGGCCCTGGCCCTCAACAGGTATCTGTGCACAGCCGTGTTGCCCCTCCTCACTAAATGTGCTCCTCTATTTGCGGGAACGGAGCCGTTCGCCTCGCTCATCGACTCCCTCCTCCACACAGTCTACCGCCTGTCCAAAGGCTGCTGCCTCACCAAGGCCCAGAGGGACGCCATAGAGGAGTGTCTGCTGGCTGCCTGCGGGTAAGAACTAACACAGAGTAACTAACTCTTACGGCTACTTAAACAAATTATAGATAACTAGTATATGTCGTCCTAATAATGTGCAGAAAGCTGAGGCCTTCGATGATGCAGCATCTGCTGAGGAGGCTGGTGTTTGACGTTCCTCTGCTCAATGAACACACCAAGATGCCTCTGAAGGTAAGACACGCATTGCAGGTCTTTCGTTGCTCCATTTACATTTCAAAGTGTTGAAGGTTACCTGAGCTCAGACCTTCACAAAAAGCCAGAGAAGATTCTCCACTCCAACATGACATTGTGATGACGGTAGTATATAAGAAAAGTGTATTTGATATTTTTTGACAACTACTCACAAAACATATTTGTATTCCCATACAATTTATGGGATTTATATATCAATCAACAACACAATCATTTTTGTTTTCCTTTGCTCCAGCATCTCTTATTTCAGATGTATTAAAACATTTGATCCAGAGTGAATTTGTGCCATCTTCTGCACTGTTTAATTGAACATGGTAGCATATGGTTAATAAAAGTCCTCTTGACTTCACCCAGCTGTTGACCAATCACTACGAGCGTTGTTGGAAGTATTACTGCCTGGCGGGGGGCTGGGGCAGCTTCGGAGCGGCATCAGATGAAGAGCTCCACCTCTCCAGGAAACTCTTCTGGGGAATTTTTGATGCTCTGTCTCTCAAGGTGAGGCTCTAGATTAGGCCTATTTCTTAATAGATTAGTCTCCAATACAAAGCAGAGGAAACCCTGCTGACATCCCTATGACATCATCAGGGTAATATTTCAAACCTGACAAAAATCATTCAGCTATACAGATGACATTACGACATTAAACAGCTTTTTAAACAGCAGACATTTATAAATGCCAGAAACTCTAAACCAAATCTAGTATGTGTATTAGTATGAGAACTTTCTTGCTGTCTTTTGATCATTGACAGTAGTTGTAGTGCCTTCAAATTATTTAGCTACGTTTTTCATTTTTGAAAAAGCACCTTTTTCATCTATACAAAAGTAGGCAATGCTCATATCCTGCACACATGTGATTTCATATAGCTGACACTTTTATCCAAAGGGACCTAAAATAAATTCAATAATCTAACCATGAGCATATACATTTAGAACAGCATACTGTAAATGTACAGGGAATAATATATGTTTTTACATCAACAGACAGGCTCGTCGTGTTGTCTGTGAGTGTGTTTAAAGCAGCAAACTGTTTTACATGTGTTGACACAGCGGTATGACCAGGAGCTGTTTAAGCTGGCGCTGCCGTGTCTTAGTGCGGTGGCTGGAGCTCTCCCACCCGACTACATGGAGTCTAACTACATGGCCATGATGGAGAAACAGTCGTCCATGGATTCAGAGGGAAACTTCACCCCACAGCCTGCAGACACCACCAGGTATAACACACATTTATTAACTTCATTTTCTTACGTTTTCTCTGAGCATATCCACTCGTTTCAAATAAATAAGGTCTCAAATATTATGTTTTTGTGTCAAAAAAGTAATAAAAGGAACCAATAATTTAATATTATACTTTCCCTGACTTTGCTTGCAGGTGACCCCATATATTTGAATTTGTTTTCCTTTGTTTTCTGTCTTCCTCAGTGTGACTGTCCCAGAGAAACTTGACTATTTCATAACCAGATATGCAGAGCACAACCATGAGAAGTGGTGTATAGAAAGGGTAAGGAGCAGACAAAACAATAACTAATTATATAGTAGACCTGTCACAAAGTTGCAATAAACCTACTGACATCTCCGAAATTATAATATAAACATGTAATGCATTTTAAAATGTCTCTTATGTATCTCCTAGTTTTCCAATGGCTGGTCATATGCGGAACAGATATGTGAAATCTCCAAGAGCCACCCTTTACTGAAACCTTACAAAGGCATTTCTGAGAAGGTGGGTACAGTCTGGTTTTATGTTCTCATTGTTTTTCAAAAATGATGCATTTTGTTTTACACAGGTAGCATTGTGCTCAGCAGTGTCACAACACAGTATCACTAAATGTGAGCCGGGTCTGTCTCACAAAAGCCTGCACAATTCAGAGAAGCTCTCAAGTTCAGTGTCAGCTCATGTTCCTTATTCTGGTCTATCATCTGTCACTATCCGTGCATGAGTCTGGATACCCAGAATAGTTTTGGTGTAAACTAGACAGATTTAGGCCACTGTTCGAAAGAGCAAGCCGATATCCTACCATAACTAGTGCCACTGACACAAGCCTTACCTTCAGACAAGCTAACTTGCAAATATTACAACCTGTAGTAGTGCTATGGTTACATGTTTACATGAGTGGGTCGCTGTTTTGTTTATTTCATGCACATCCACAAGGACACAGGTGATACAATGTTGACGATTGGAAGGCTAACATGAATGCAAATAATGCAGATTTTAAACATTGGTACATCAAACGTTTAACGGGGAATAATTTATATGCAACAAATTTATTAGAGCTGAAGGATACGCAGTTTTTGGTGAGTAACACCTATTAACATCTAATGTTAACCGAAACACCAAATTAAACCCTTAACTGATGCCTTAACCGCTAATGTAAAATGTATTATTTACCCTTCACAGACTGCAATGGCATACATTTGAGTTTTTTTTTCAGACTTGCAGATAAGTGAGAAGTCTGTCTTACTCCAGAGCGAGCAACTGCATGCCTTTAAAAATATCCTTAAACAAATATTTTATGAATAAATGCAAGGAATGACTGTATAATTCACACTTTGCACTCACCTTTAGGTTGATAGCTTGCAGTATGTTGTGGTTTGTTGCAATTTTGCGTGTGAAATGATTTTTAGAGGCATGATTCGCTGCCAGCTCTATTCTTAAGTGTGGTTGTAATCTTGCAGGATAAAGAGGCGTACTGCTGTTCAGTCAGAGAGTCTCTGAAGACCATGCTGTCGTGGGGCTGGAGCATCGACAGGATCAGAGAAGGAGACCCTGCCAGCCTGCACAATAAGTCCAGGAGGATATCACAGGCCAGCCAGGTACACACACACACACACACACACACACACACACACACACACACACACACACACACACACACACACACAACCCAGAGATATGTATTATGCATTTTTGTGTGTGTGTGTGTGTGTGTGTGTGTGTGTGTGTGTGTGTGTGTGTGTGTGTGTGTGTGTGTGTGTGTACCTGGCTGGCCTGTGATATCCTCCTGGACTTANCCCCCTACAACTTTGTCCAGGAGAGTCACAACGTCACCAAAATCACACTGGTGTTGGCTGTTGGCCCAAGACTCATGGTAAACTCTGCAGGCATGCTTTAACAGAGGCAAGGCATGTAGACATCTTATTTTTATGTATGTTTTTTATGTATGTTTTTTATGTATGTTTTTGTATGTCTAGAAAATCTATGGTAAAAGCTTGAAATTCCAAACATGGTCGTACAATTGTTGCTTCGTAAGGTAGAACTTTAACC